ATTAATTAAAGTTCAAGCCCTCTTTCTCAAGAGCCTTGAAGTTTTCTTTCAAGTAGCACCAAAATTCCATTTACTCCATTTTCTTTCCAAAATATTCGAACCATCAACAATTCAATTACACAAAATTCCATTTTTATTAATCTTGTTCTCGATTTTTATCTTCGTATATTATCTTATTACTCATAGATCATAAACCATGGATCGTAAACTTCCTCGACCCGGAGGGAGTACACTTACAACCACGTAGGTCGATATATATATATACACATAGAAACATATACTTATATATAGCACATTAAGATTATAAATAAACCATGGATCAAGTACTTTCTTCGACCACGCAGGTTTACGAAAACCATGGATCGAAGTTTCCTTAAGATCACGCAGGTCTAGTATATATATATATTTACATATACATAAATAAAAATTAAATTATCATATTATTCTTAGTTCTTCAAGATTATTTCAATTAAAGCTTAGATCATTACATGCATGGATCATCTAACAATAAACAAGCAAAGTAATACAACTTCCCAAATTTTAGGCCATTAAGAACGAAGAAGGTGAAAGAAGAAATAATATTGGTGAAGAATCACTTGTAGCAAGAATATGAAATTCTCACCTTAATCTTCTTAGAAAATATGAAGGAGTTGGTGGATTGAATAACCCACTATAAGAACCTTGAAGAAATTATAAAGAAATTAGAAGAAAACATTAGGGAATTTTCGAAATTGAAAGGGAAGAAGAAAAATGAAAGCTTTCTTACACTTCTAGTTGAAGAGACTTCTTTTTGGAAATGAGGAGAGATTTTGAGCTTCCTACACTAATAATTTCGAAATGGAGGAGAAGAAGAGAGAGAATGATGTTTTCTTAAGAGCTTTAAGATATGGTGGAGAAGATGAAAATTCATTTGGGTGTTGGGTTCTATTTATAGAGCTTTGCAAGCATTTGGGGGTGTTCTTGGAATTTCCTCTTTAGGTGGGTTGGATTGGAGGTGGTTCTATGGCTTGAGCTTGAGTAAAAATGGAGTCTTGGTGAGGGGATGGTGGTGATGGCCGAATTTAGGGAGAGAGGAAGAAGAAAGAGAATGGGTTTCAAATGCTTAGGTGGAAAGAGAGAGAGAAAGTGGGTCTTGAATTAAAAGGTAAAGTGAAGTACCATTCTCAATGAAGAAGGTACAAGCCACTTAAGCCTTCAATTATCCCAATTAATGAGTCTTTCTACATTAAAGAATTGTACACATGGAAAATAAAATCCATGTGTGTCTCCACATGGCCGAAAATTACAAGAAGAGTGGAGAAAATTTTATTTCTAAGTTTATTCACTCATTTAATTATCTAATATGCATGAATTTATTCTTTTTCTAAAAATTTAGTGTATGCATAAATATATTCCAACTATCCAAATTAAATTCTAGAATGCAATAATCTAATTAAAATATGAAATTTTTCAATTAGTTATTTTTCGTGTGAAATTTTCAAATATTCGATTCTCATAAATCAACTAATCACATAATTTAACTCACACATAAAGTTCATCAAGAATGCATGTATAACTAGGCTAGCTCATAAAGAAATTATCCTATTAGCACACATAAAATTTCTAAACGTAAAATCTACTTATGAAAAATAATAAAAATATAAAACGAGTTATCCGAAAGGGCGGGGTGTTACAATCTCCCTCCCTTAAAGAAATTTCGTCCCCGAAATTTGTACCTTTCTTGATTAATTCCGGGTACCGACTCTCAATCTCATCCTCGAGTTCCCACGTCGCCTCGTCCGGGGAGTGGTTTTTCCAAAGAACTTTGATAAGGCGAATTTCTTTATTTCGGAGTTTCCTAGCTTTTCGGTCTAGAATTTGGACGGGTTCTTCGATAAAAGATAGGTTTGGGGATAAGTCTATAGGTTCGAATTCAAGGACGTGGTCGGGGTTAGGAAGGTATTTTCGGAGCATGGATACGTGAAAGACATTGTGTATTCGAGATAGATGTGGTGGTAGGGCAAGGCGATAGGCTTGAGTGCCAATTCGATTGAGAATTTCGAAAGGTTCAATATATCGAGGGCTTAGTTTCCCTCGTTTTCCGAATCGCATAATTCCTTTGAGTGGAGCGACTTTTAGAAATACGTGGTCGCCAACATTGAATTCCAAGTCTCGTCTCCTTTTATTTGCGTATTTTTGTTGGCGATCTTGGGCCGACTTCATTTTCTCCCGGATGTGTTTGATTATGTCGACGGTGTGTTGGACTAGTTCGGGGCCCAATAATTTTCGCTCGCCGACTTCGTCCCAATGGATTGGAGATCGGCACTTTCTTCCGTACAATGCTTCGTATGGCGCCATTTCGATCGACGATTGGTAACTATTATTGTACGAGAATTCGATGAGCGGTAGCCGGCTTTCCCAATTGCCACCAAAATCCATTATGCATGCTCGGAGCATATCTTCGAGAGTTTTAATCGTTCTCTCGGATTAACCGTCGGTTTGGGGATGGTATGCCGTACTAAAGGCTAGACGGGTCCCCATTGCTTCGTGTAAGCTCTTCCAAAATTTTGAAGTGAATCGGGGGTCTCGATCAGAAATAATTGATATAGGAATCCCATGGAGCCGGACAATTTCTCGGATGTAAAGTTCGGCTAGCTTTTCGAGACTAAAGGTAGTCTTGACCGGTAGAAAGTGAGCGGATTTGGTTAGGCGATCAACTATCACCCATATTGAGTCGGAACCTTTTTGAGTTTTTGGAAATCCTTGAACGAAATCCGTGTTTACCCTTTCCCACTTCCATTCGGGTATGAGGTTGGGTTGAAGAAGTCCGCCGGGCCGTTGGTGTTCCGTCTTAACTTGTTGACAAACTAGGCATTCGGACACGAACTTGGCTATGTCTTTCTTCATTCCGGGCCACCAATATAATTTCTTCACGTCTTGGTACATTTTTGTTTCGCCCGGGTGGCAAGAGTAGGGGGTTTTGTGAGCTTCGCCGAGAATTAATTCTTTTATCTCTTTGTTTGCCGGAACGCAAATTCTTCCTTGGAATTTTAAGACTTCGCCGTCGGAGATCGAGAAATTGGGATTTTGACCGGTTGATAAGCTTTCTCGGATTTTTAGAAGTTGATCATCAAGGAGTTGGGCGGATTTGATAGTCGACTTGAGCGGCGGTTCAATGATCAAAGCGCACATGGACTTCCGGCTAAGAGCATCGGCCACGACATTAGCTTTACCGGGGTGGTAAAGTATTTTGCAATCGTAATCTTTGACCAATTCGAGCCATCGTCTTTGTCTCATGTTAATTTCTTTTTGGGTGAAGAAGTACTTTAGGCTTTTGTGGTCGGTGAAGATCGAACATTTCTCTCCGTAGAGATAGTGCCTCCAAATTTTGAGGGCGAAAACAACGTCGGCAAGTTCCAAGTCGTGCGTCGGGTAATTCTTCTCGTAATCTTTTAATTGACGAGAGGCATAGGCAATTACGTTCCCATTTTGCATCAAGACGGCTCCAAGTCCATGCTTGGAAGCATCGCTATAGACTACGTAGTTTCCGGTTTTGTCGGGTAAGGCGAGAATTGGGGCGGAAGTTAATCGATTCATGAGCTCTTGGAAGCTAGACTCACATTCGGCGGTCCATTGGTACTTGGTCTCCTTTCGGGTCAATCGAGTGAGTGGAGAAGCGATTTTGGAGAAGTTCAGAACGAATCGTCGATAGTAACCCGCGAGACCGAGGAAGCTTCGGATTTCTCCAACATTTCGGGGAGTCGGCCAATTGCAAACGGCTTCGATCTTGCTTGGATCTACCGATATTCCTTCTTTCGAGATCACGTGCCCAAGGAAGTGGACTTGGCGTAACCAAAATTCACATTTGGAGAATTTTGCGTAAAGTTGGTTTTCTCGGAGGGTTTGGAGCACGATCCTCAAATGTTCTTCGTGTTCTTCATCGTTTCGAGAGTAGATTAAGATGTCGTCGATAAAGACGATTACAAATTGGTCGAGGTACTTGTGGAAGATTCGGTTCATTAGATCCATGAAAGCGGCCGGGGCGTTGGTTAGACCGAATGGCATTACTACAAACTTGTAATGGCCGTAACGAGTTCGGAAAGCGGATTTTGGGATATCTTCCTTCTTGATTTTCAATTGGTGATATCCGGAACGGAGATCGATCTTTGAGTTCACCGTGGAGCCTTGGAGTTGGTCGAAAAGGTCGTCGATTCTCGGTAGGGGATATTTATTTTTTATCGTGACTTTGTTAAGCTCTCGGTAGTCGATACATAGGCGGAGGGTTCCGTCTTTCTTTTTGACGAAGAGGACGGGAGCGCCCCAAGGAGAGAAGCTAGGGCGAACAAACTTCTTATCGATAAGCTCTTGAATTTGGTCTTTGAGTTCTTTAAGTTCTAACGGGGCCATGCGGTAGGGTGCTTTGGAAATAGGAGTTGCACCGGGAATTATGTTGATCTCAAATTCAATTTCACGATCGGGTGGAAGACCGGGGAGATCTTCGGGAAAGACATCGGGAAAATCACAAACGGTTGGTACTTGGGATGGCTCGGGTTTATTTTCGTCGGAGATTTCGACTATGTCGACCAAAAGACAACAATGCCCCTTTCGGGCGAGCTTAAGTGTTTTGACGGCGGAGAGGATTTGGAGTGAAGGTGAGTAGGACCCTTGGAATTCCACTGTTTGTCCGTGGGGTAAAGAAAGATAGACGGTTTTGGTCGCACAATTAATTTGGGCTTTAAATTTGGACAACCAATCCATTCCGAGAATTACTTCGAAATGGTCTATAGGGAGAATTATGAGGTCGGAATCGAGTGGCTTCTTTTGGATTTGGATTGGGCAATCTTTGAAAAAGAGGTCGGATTCTAAATCATTGCCAGACGGTAAGCGAATTGTGAATAATTCACTAGATGTGGTAGGGGTTATTGGGAATTTGGCGGCGAGGGTACTCGAGACGAATGAGTGAGTCGATCCGGAATCAACTAGAGCATAAACGAGATTGTTACAAACGTAAATTGTACCTGCTATCTCGAAGGGTCGGCTTCGGCTTCATCTTTGGTCATTGCGAACACTCGACCGGGAGCTCGATTTTGCGGTGGGGGTTGTGGGCAATCCCTTATCAAGTGCCCTGGTTTTCCACAGCGATAACAATTGTTGGTGCCTTGAACGCAGTGTCCAAAGTGAGGTTTCCGACATTTTGGGCAAATCGGTCGGGCTGGTGGCGTAGCATGCTTTTGAATCATTGGACATTTTCCCTTGTTTTGGCTAGGTCCGGGGTGGGGCCTCTTCCATTTGTGAGTAGTGGCGGGTGGAACGGATCGAGATTGACGAATCTCTTGCTCGGCTTGGTCTGCTTCGAGTGCTTTGTCGACTATTTTCCGAAAAGTCGTTACGGAAGACATGCGGACATCTCGTTGAATCACCGGATTGAGGCCTCTAATGAAATGGTTGGCCTTTTCGTCAGCGTCTCGGGATATGAATGGGGCGTAGAGACATCCTTGTTCGAATCGCCTTACGTACTCGGGTACGGACATGTTGCCTTGCTTTAGCTCAAGAAATTCTTTTAGCTTCTGAGCTCGGAGGTTTTTGGAAAAGTACTTTTCGAAGAATAAGATTTTGAAAGCGCTCCAAGTAGTGTTCGTTAGGTCGATTCCTTCTTTGGTACCTTCCCACCAATGACGGGCTTCGTTCTTCAGTAGGAAAAGAGAACAATGGATTCGATCTTGGTCGGACATTTCCATGTAGTCGAAAATGACTTCGAGGGATGTGATCCATTCTTCACCTATGGTTGGATCGGGGCCTCCATGGAATTCGGCGGGGTGCATTCGTAGAAACCTTTCGTAAATGGCTTGGGGTGTGGTATTTTGAGTTGGTGGAGGTGGAGGGTTCTGGTTTTGGAGGTTAACAAGGCGTTGAATTTGTTCATTTTGTTCTCGGACGAGGGCGGTGAGGTCTTGTATGGTGCGAGATTGATCGTTCGGACCGTTAGCGGCGTTTTGAGCTCGAGTTTGTGCTCCCGACATTTTAGCACTTTAAACAAATAAACACTTCTCATTAGTTAAGAAATGTGCACATATAAACACATACCTGCCCGAGTTCTTAGTTGATGTCGTCATTCGAGGATTTCGGAGATCTTTAAGTTCATATGGAGATTTTCCGGGGATCGTTGCTCTGATACCACGTATGTGTGACACCCATTTTCTAGTTATACTTAATTAGTATTTTAGAATATGATAGCGGAAGACTTTGAAATATATAAATCGGGAATAGAAAATTTCGACAATTTTTTTTTTCTTTTAGAATCAGAGTAAGAGTGTCCACATATTACCAAACAACATTCACTTAATCAATTTCACAAACTATGCATGCATGACTAGAGATTAAGTTCCATTTTAGCAAAGTGAGAAAATATTAGACAGTTTTGATCTATCAATTAAACAAATTAATAACTCTCTAACCGCTCATGCAAAACACTTGAAAGTTTTACCACATGCTCTAATAAGGACCTAGATAACCTAGGAAAAACAGTTTTGAAATAACTTGAGCCATTTGAAAGGAATAATTAAAATGGTACAACTATACAGTTTGAAAATCTAAAGCAGGGGAGTGATCTTTGAAAAATCTTTATAAATTCCCTACTGTCTCAAAAATCATAAAATTATATACTAAAGTACATTGGTAAGTTAGAAGTTTATACCAAGTGGAATAAATCTTTTTGAGTGAGAAAAACTTCGTATTTTGTTGTAAATACTACAATGACTCTGTTTCAGAGAAGAGTTGGTAAACAATTCGTAATTAATTCATGGCTTATCCAAATGATGCAAACGACCTATCAACGTGAACCTAACAAATAGACCTATGATGCTGTAAAATTTCATGCAATAATGTATACAAGATATAATTAACACGAATTATTAAACTACTAGGCAGAACACAACACATAACTAGCCGATGGGCATTTTATAAGGTTTTTAGGAAAACTTGCCCTAAAGTTACATAAGTTTTTGAGGAATCATCATAACATATATCAAAATAGGTAATGTTAATCATATGTCACATTACACATTATGCATCAATAGTAAGTTCCTCCAATAGGCGGAAGGGAACGATAATAAACACCTAAAACGGTGTCGAATGTCTTTAAAAGCAAAGTGTACAAATAAAACCACATTAGTATATTAAGAGCACCCAAAATCCACCATGCCTCCATATGAACTCTTCTCCCGATCCACGAACTCAACTTCAACCACGATCCTCGGGCTCGAAATCGGGTAATCCTACAAGCAATTCAACACCTATATGAGTCTTTGAGACTCAATGAGAATTCCATAGAATATCAAATACACTTAGACAAGGAATCATATAATCATACATCTACATACATATACAAGTATACATATACCTCAATCATCATTTCTTTAAGAAAATTTACCGATTTACCTTTACCTTCTCGGTTTATCTCTTAGACCCTTTTCGATTTACCTCTTAGAACTTTTCGATTTACCTCTTAGACCTTCATTTCATCATTTCATAAGGAATAAGAGGAGATCCCTTACAAGGGAGTCATTCTTTTACACATACATTCATTCATGTGCTTATACAATGTGTGAGAAAATCATTTTCTTTAGTCGGATATCCTTTGGAAAAATCAAGTAAAACCATAGACAATAAGCCTTCATTTATTTGGAACCCGTTTCATAAGTGGAATCAAACCACACACTCTTCATCTCATTTTTGGGGTACCGGTCCCTCATACCCCGTGCTTATTCGATCTATGTTTTACAAGACTTTCCAATTTTAAAAACGTGCAAGTGAGGTTAGCACATACTTTCATTCATTTCAAGCAATTTGATTAGGTGTGTGAGAAAACATTTTTCGTTCGGATATCCTTTGAAAAATCAAGTAAAACCATAGACAATAAGCCTTCATTTATTTGGAACCCGTTTCATAAGTGGAATCAAACCACACACTCTTCATTTCATTTTTGGGGTACCGGTCCCTCATACCCCGTGCTTATTCGATCTATGTTTTACAAGATTTTCCAACTTTAAAAACGTGCAAGTGAAGTTAGTATATACTCTTCATTTCACATATTCAAAGTTAGCTTTCACATAAGCACACATATTTTCACATATTTCACAAAAGGCACATAGTTTAGTCACAAAATCACTAAAGCAAGTAAGACACATAAAAATTCAAACAAAGAGCATAGATCACATATAGCAAAACAACTCAAAGCATTCGGTTATTTATAATTACTATCTCCGAGTTTTATTAATTAAAGTTCAAGCCCTCTTTCTCAAGAGCCTTGAAGTTTTCTTTCAAGTAGCACCAAAATTCCATTTACTCCATTTTCTTTCCAAAATATTCGAACCATCAACAATTCAATTACACAAAATTCCATTTTTATTAATCTTGTTCTCGATTTTTATCTTCGTATATTATCTTATTACTCATAGATCATAAACCATGGATCGTAAGCTTCCTCGACCCGGAGGGAGTACACTTACAACCACGTAGGTCGATATATATATATACACATAGAAACATATACTTATATATAGCACATTTAGATTATAAATAAACCATGGATCAAGTACTTTCTTCGACCACGCAGGTTTACGAAAACCATGGATCGAAGTTTCCTTAAGATCACGCAGGTCTAGTATATATATATTTACATATACATAAATAAAAATTAAATTATCATATTATTCTTAGTTCTTCAAGATTATTTCAATTAAAGCTTAGATCATTACATGCATGGATCATCTAACAATAAACAAGCAAAGTAATACAACTTCCCAAATTTTAGGCCATTAAGAACGAAGAAGGTGAAAGAAGAAATAATATTGGTGAAGAATCACTTGTAGCAAGAATATGAAATTCTCACCTTAATCTTCTTAGAAAATATGAAGGAGTTGGTGGATTGAATAACCCACTATAAGAACCTTGAAGAAATTATAAAGAAATTAGAAGAAAACATTAGGGAATTTTCGAAATTGAAAGGGAAGAAGAAAAATGAAAGCTTTCTTACACTTCTAGTTGAAGAGACTTCTTTTTGGAAATGAGGAGAGATTTTGAGCTTCCTACACTAATAATTTCGAAATGGAGGAGAAGAAGAGAGAGAATGATGTTTTCTTAAGAGCTTTAAGATATGGTGGAGAAGATGAAAATTCATTTGGGTGTTGGGTTCTATTTATAGAGCTTTGCAAGCATTTGGGGGTGTTCTTGGAATTTCCTCTTTAGGTGGGTTGGATTGGAGGTGGTTCTATGGCTTGAGCTTGAGTAAAAATGGAGTCTTGGTGAGGGGATGGTGGTGATGGCCGAATTTAGGGAGAGAGGAAGAAGAAAGAGAATGGGTTTCAAATGCTTAGGTGGAAAGAGAGAGAGAAAGTGGGTCTTGAATTAAAAGGTAAAGTGAAGTACCATTCTCAATGAAGAAGGTACAAGCCACTTAAGCCTTCAATTATCCCAATTAATGAGTCTTTCTACATTAAAGAATTGTACACATGGAAAATAAAATCCATGTGTGTCTCCACATGGCCGAAAATTACAAGAAGAGTGGAGAAAATTTTATTTCTAAGTTTATTCACTCATTTAATTATCTAATATGCATGAATTTATTCTTTTTCTAAAAAATTAGTGTATGCATAAATATATTCCAACTATCCAAATTAAATTCTAGAATGCAATAATCTAATTAAAATATGAAATTTTTCATATAGTTATTTTTCGTGTGAAATTTTCAAATATTCGATTCTCATAAATCAACTAATCACATAATTTAACTCACACATAAAGTTCATCAAGAATGCATGTATAACTAGGCTAGCTCATAAAGAAATTATCCTATTAGCACACATAAAATTTCTAAACGTAAAATCTACTTATGAAAAATAATAAAAATATAAAACGAGTTATCCGAAAGGGCGGGGTGTTACAACAATAAAGTAAAATAAATATAAATAGAGAAATAAATAAACTAATTCCATAGATTGAGGAATAGTGCTTAGCTCGAAGCTAATGCCAAACAGGAAATAAGAATGCTTAGCATAAGCTAATTCCATAAGAAGGTGAAGAATGCTTAGCTTGAAGTTAACACCAAACGAAAAATAAGAACGCCTAGCACAAGCTTATTCCATATGGAAAAAAAATATGTAAATTAATTCATCAAAAAAATAAATGAATAAATAAATTAAAAAAATGCTAATTCCAAAAGAAGAGGAATAATGCTTAGCTCGAAGCTAATGCCAAAACGAAAGTAAGAATGCTTCGCACAAGCTAATTCTATAAGGAGATGAATAATGCTTAGCTCGAAGCTAATGCCCAAAAGGTAAGTAAAAATGCATAGCATAAGCTTATTCCATAACAAGCGGAATAATACATAGTTCTAAGCTAATGCCAGATGAAAAGTAGGAATGCTTAGCCCAAGCTAAGAATGATTAGCAGAAACTAATTCCATAAGAAGAGCAATAATGCTTAGCAGGAAGCTAATGCCATAAGGAAAGTAAGAATGCTTAGCACAAGCTAATACCATAAGGGAAAAAAACTAAGAAAATAAAAATAAATAAACAAACAAATAAATATATAAAATCTATTTCCATAAGACGAGGAATAATGCTTAGCATGAAGTTAATGCCAAAATGAAAGTAAGAATGCTAAGCACAAGCTAATTTTCCATAAGGAGAGGAATAATACTTAGCTCGAAGCTAATGCCATTATGAAAGTAGGAATGCTTGGTAAAAACTAATTCCATGAGAAGAGGAATAATGCTTAACTAAAAGCTAAAGAATGCTTAACTAAAAGCTAAAGTCAGAAGGAATGTAAGAATGCTTAGCAAAAATTAATTCCATAACAAGAGGAATAGTGCTTAGCACTAAGCCAATGCCATAAGGAAAGCAAGAATGCTTAGAACAAGCCAATTCCATAACAAGAGGAATAATGACTAGCTCGAAGCTAATGCCAAAACGAAAGTAAGAAGGCTAAGCCCAAGGTAATCCCATATGAAATGGAATAATGC